CTCACCTAACAACCGGTGCAATTCAGTTAACAACGGCAACAGGGACTGCTGGGATTGCTGTCTCTAAGCAATGTGGTCACGTGACATCACAATTTACAACTGCATTGCTTATCAACAGAAATTCTGGTCCTAATTACTGTTGTAACTCAAGGACTACCTGTACCTAGATGAACACTGGGTAGAAAGCAAAGCTTTAAAAATCAAATGACAGAAACACATTGCTAAATATACTAAATCTTGAATGCTTTAATATAATCCTATGGAATTTGTGGTGGTGTTCCTAAATCTTCAAATTTCTCTTATAGAATAGCATTCTGTTTGAAAATTATCTAATCTAGTATATTAATTTGCAATTTTAGAGAATTCCTGGTGGTTAAGATATTACTGTTTACCAGGAACTGTTAGGAAACTATATTGAGAAGGCAAATTTGCATTCTGGTACCAAAATAGACTTGACAAAAGCACTGTGACTAAGGTATAGCATATGTTTGTATCTTTTAAAATTAGCAGACCCTTATAGCTGCTTTTAAGTAATGATGTAGAGGGGGATATTAATTTTTTTCCCTATACATAAATTTTATTAATGAACTCCTGCCACTAATGCTTACATGGGGAAAATATCCATTGTTCTATATATTTCCCACAAGCTAATAACTTTTGGGAGGAGGTGATGGGTTTAGATTGGAAAGAGTTAAAGCATGAATATCCATACAAAACAAGCCACTTAATAGATTCATAATAACAGATTGAAAATGTAGGAGATTTGAACTACATCTATACTTTATCTCATCTATTTGATACTTGGTACTGCGTGTGTAAGAATGATGAATCTTTCTGGAAAAGTGTTGAGACTTCTACTGTTTGCAGAGCAGTTTGAATGAGAGTAACTGTTATAAATCTATTCAGTGAGTTGAGTTCATGGCCACCTTTAAATCAAAACAATACAGACAGGAGTAGATGTCAAACGGGTGGAATTCCATCATGCATGAGGCAAAGCTAGGTATTTTCAGTCTTTCTGGTTTGGATAGGGTTGGAGCATTTTCCTTTTTTTCTTTTCCTTTTTTCCTTTACTATTAAACTTAGAGTACAGTGCTGTTCTTTGCTGAAAATCTCAGGAAACAAAGCCACTGAATTTCAGTAGTGTGGTTAGAGAGGCTCTTGGGCTATAAAAAATGGGTATGGGGCAACAAATAATTCAGACCAGATCTGTTTATAATGTGCTACTTTTAAGTACTATGAAATATCATATCCTAGTTCTGTCATAATGGCCCATCCATTTCTATTGAATTCATTGTGGATGGGAATGTTACAAAGAAAGTCATAAAGAATCAATTGCCAATCCGATTGGAAGAAAAACATTTTTATTTTCCAAAACACTATAGCAGTTGCAATTTTATATTTCTTACCTAACATTACAAATGGCAACAAAATAAGATGACCCAGACTTGGTCAGATGGCTAGAAATAAAATATATACTTTAATCATTGAAATAATTTCCAAATACTACTAATTTTTTTCCTGAATGTATAATTTTTATATTGGTAATATCATAAATCATTTACTAAGCATCTACTCATCAATAATATGCATGGCTATGATAATGAAAGAATAATCACACTATATTATAGCATGCAGTCAGTTTTCATTTTTTGGCTTAACATTCTAGTTATAATGGAGAATGGGATCTGGCTCGCAAAGCAATGGATGATGTTTTATACAGAGCACAATTGGAGTTATATCCAGAACCACTATTGGTAGGTGTTTTGTGTCAAATTCTTCTTTACAGTCATGTTTTTTCAATTTATTTTGATTATTTTTGTATCTTTAACTTATATAAAGTAATCAAAGTAGCTTATAACAAAAATATTTAAAATGTTTAAATAATTTAAAACAAAACACAGTCTCTGCAGATCAGAGTCTCATGGGCTCTGCAGCAGTTATAGCATTCCAGAAAAAGAAAAGAAGAAAAAACAGCTAACAAAAACAGATTCTTGATAGGTTGGATTATTTTTGTAATAAAGTATTTAGGTAGTGTAAAAATACAAGAACTAAATTGATATCCTAAGGCTGTGGAGTTTTGTATTAGACATCACTACCAGACTATCTGTGTCTTCTCTTGCATCATCACCACCACAAACTCTGATGTCACCATGATGTGTAAAGGGCTTTCCTGAATGATTTCTGTGGACAGGCTGTTTGTGTAGGAGCTGCCAGTAATTTAGTAACCCTGATTCTGTGCTGTAGAGGGCCTTAGGGGAATAATCACCATTTTAAAATGAACCTTGAACTGACTGGAAGGTAACGTTGAAAGAATAAAGCTAATCATCCCAACATATTTTTGCTCTGTTAGTTCACTGAGTTTGTCTACCACCTATATATTAAGGCAGCCAAAGAATTTTAAAATTTAAAATGGGAATGCAGAAATTATAAAAGAATAAATAATACATAGTCATTTCAAGCAACTCCTGGCCTCTTTAGAATGATGGCCAAGGTTTTTAATTCTTTTATTCTCCCTCTTAAATGTAACTGGTCCACCAGCTGCTCCTTTTGCTTTTAGGAACATAGGGCAATAGGGTAAAGCTGAATAAATGTAGTCTTGGTAACAGCTATCCCAAATTGTGAACCTGATTTTTAGAGAGAATATATTTCTGTCCCTGGGTAAGAGGTCTTATTGACCAACAACACTGTAGTGTTTTCTAGATTAAGATCCATTTGGTTAGCCTACATCAATGCTAATCTCTGATAACAGGTCAGAAGCTTAATTCCATTTAATGCAGGAGTGAGAAACGTGGCTCTCTGGGTATTGGGGAACTACAACTCCAGGAACCCCAATTATCATGGCCAATAATGATGGATACTGGGAGCTGAAATTCAATAGCATCTCCAGAGCCTGAAGTTCTCTGTCCCTTCCTTTGTGCATGTCAGAAGAGTGTATGTGTATATACATGTAACACATAAGAGAAACAACATATATGTCTTTAGCTGCCTTTGATACTTTTACTATAATTAATACATTGAACTTTGGGATATTAGTGTTGCCCAGAAAAAAAAGCTCCTATTTCTTCTTTATTGTTTCGTTCAGTATTATTAATGTAATAACTGTAATATGTAAACTGAAAATATATATGTGATTCATTGGCAAAATTGATTCCACTGTATTGAAAATTGATTCTACTGCATTTAAAATTGATTCTGGTTTAGATTGTTCTGCTGATAGATTAAATAGTAAGGCAAGTTTCTAAATGTCAGTGCCTTGTTGGTAGGAATAGTTTTTCACATAATTTCCCCAAACATTATGCAAATATTAGTGAAATAAAAATCTGTTGTTTTCCAAAAAGTAGTAAACTCTATCAGTGCTTTAAGAACATAGAAGAGGAAGGAAAGGCTATGCTATTCATGAACCTCCTTCTCGGATAACCAGCCATGTCCTAGTAGAGAGGTGGGAACATGCCCATAGGTCCTTTATAGTAGTAATGAACAACACGATGAAGGCTGCTGAGTATTTTCTGAAGACACATTTCCTGATTGCCCCCAGTCTTAGTTTCTGAGATGTAAAAGTTAATAGAGCAGCTGAAGTCTGGGAAGATGCCAGGAAGTAACCACATTGTACCAGAGTTATTTAAGACAAATGTGAAGTGGTAGGTTCCAATTTTGGCTTCTCTCTTCATGGACAGCTGTGATACCCAGTGATTGGGGTTTGAGTATTATAATTCCTATTTTTAAAAAAGGTGCAAGAAATAAGCTTGACAGTTACAGACCAATGAGTTTGTTGAGTATTACCAGCCAACTCTATGCTGGGCATTACAATGGAACCTTCAGATTGGATAGAAAATGAGTCATTTTTAGGTGAAGAGCAAGTAGTGTTTAGGGCAGGACATTGCCTATCACCAAGATTGTTCTAAAACCTAATCAACACATACTCCTTGGTGTTGACATCCTCTCTTTGCAATGCATTTATGGATTTTAGAAATGCCATTGGCTCTATCTCCAGAGACAAACTCTGGGCCAAACACAGGTGTACTGGCTCTTTCATTTATCAACACATTCCACAATAGCACATATGTGAGAGTTAGATGTGATCTGAATGGGGCAGACTGCAATAGCTATCCAAAAAGTTGTAAGACAGGGTTGTATTTTGGCATCCTTTTCAATTTCTAAATCAACACTTTAGCCAAAACTCTAGAGATGGTGCAACACCACCACCTAAAGTAGCTGATCTAAGCATTCCAATATTATTGTATGCTGTTGTAGTGTTGCTCTCAATGTTTTTGGCTTTAGGAAGGATTTGAGGGCATAAGCCCATTATTTTAGTGAATAACATTTAGATGTTAATTTTCAAAAGACTGCAGTAATGATATTTGCCAAAAAATTGAAGCTGCTGAAGTGGGTTATCAATCTTCAGATACATGGGGGTGGTATTCCATTCCTCAGGCAATATGAAATCAAAAATAGAGCACGTGACAAGGAGTGCAACAGCCATTTTGAATTATTTGGGAGTGGGGGAATTTCAGCAGTCATTATATTGTTCTAGGCAAAATCAACTTTTGTATGGTACAGAACTAGGCCCTTACTGTAATTACAGAGTGCTTAAAATCTAGATTTCTCAGAGCAGTTTGGCAACTTTTGAGGTGTGCATCAAACAAAGCTTCATAATTAGAGGCTTGAACGCTGAAGGTTGAAAGTGAAGCCTGGTTTACGTTTACCAATTATTGGTCGAAAATAATTTTGTCTTGATTGGTCTGATGCCTCACCTATTCATCAGTAATTTTCCATCCAAGAGTTAAAGCTGCATTCGGTAGTCTTTCCCTGACTTGCTTTTTTCCTTGTGCTATGAGTAAACAACAGTATCTGTAAGGCAACAATGTGAGGATATTGATCTTCAGCAAGATTTCCCCCTTATGTAGTGGACTCAGAGACTGATATTATACAAAGGACAGTATTTATGAAAGCACAATTTGATATGTTACAGTTCTACAGGGCAGATGTAGTCATATTGTACATAGTGTCTCTGCCCTTGTAGATCATGAAAATGTTTTCTGTTTATGTTGCAATTTTTATAGATGTGGTATAAATACATTACTCCAATTCTATCAAAATTCCTAGGCTGTTCAGGCCTGTGTTATTCTTTTAAACTTTTATCAGATAAGTGGAGCGTGACTTGAAGATGTGTGTGTATGTGTGTGTGTATTTACTGTCAAGTCAGTTTTGACTTTTGGCGACTGCCTGGACAAATCCATGCAGTTTTTCTTGGCAACATTTTCAGAAGCGGTTTGCCATTGCCTTCTTCTTAGGGCCAAGAGAGGGTAACTGGCCCAAAGTCACCTGGTAGGCATTGTGCCTAAAAGAGGACTAGATTCATGGTCTTCCAGTTTTTTTTAATGGGTGTGTATTAAGGATTTTGTTTGTTAACAATTAATATGATTGGCTTTTGGTTGTAATGTCTATCTATGCTATTCAAAGATATGGTTCATTAGTCACCTCTTTGTAGATTTTTGGAGAATTTTCCATTAGTTGCAACAGTGATGTTAACACTATAAGGAGAGAGATATGTTGGTCTTTATAGATTGTAACTTGGAGAGCTGTATACTAGGGTTATGCAGTGCTTTGGATTCAAAGGCTAAAAGATGCTTCAGAGTGCAATGGGTGTGAACACAACAGGTGTCTACAACTTAAACCAATGTTTTTTCCCCATGGGAACATGTCCTAAGGAATTGTAGATGGATGTTGTGTCCATACCATTGTTTTGTACAGTCCAAAGCACCTTTTTGCCTTCAAAATGGAAGCTTTGCTGTGTATATCTGCAAAACTCGATTAATCAGAAGCCAGAAATATTCCATGCTTCAGAGAACCAGCAATTTTTAGCAGGATTATTGAGAGCTAAGAGAAAGTTTCATCAACGGGAAACCAGCAATCTGTTTCTATTAGCTTGTTCATCAACTAACTAGCAGGAAAGTGTTTTTCTGGACTGCATGCAGACCACACATTTCCTGTAGTCCAAAGCATTGCTTTGTTATTCTTCCTAGTCTCAAAGATTTAAGTTGCTGAAAGAATGATTGCACAGAGGAAATAAATTGTCAGGAAAAAAAAATTCTGTATATTGTTTAGTGGGTGGCTAAAAAAAACCAAGATGAGAAAACATGATTATTAATGGCTTTGGCAATAGCTTTTAAGGCAAATGTTTTCTAATTGAAGTGTGTAATCATCTGAACTAAAGCCGTAATTATGAACAGATGGAAGTCAAATTGCTACCTCTCATGATTTTTGTCATATCTGACATAACGTTTTACGTTGATGCAATTCTTGATGTATGGTAAATATTGTTTCAGTTTGAAATCTGATGGTAATGTGACAATCTCACCCACATTTTATTTAATTATTGTTATTTTCTTTAGGTAGCTAATGCAATAAAAGCTTCATTGCCTCAAGGTGCCATAAAATCTAACAAAGAAGGTACAAAATGTATTCAGGTTGAAATTACTCCTACTGCATCTAGAATATCAAGAAATGCTGTGACCAGCATGTCTATTCGGGGCCATAGATGGAAAAGGCATGGTAAGAAGTTCAGTTTTGAAAATATTAGTTATAGCTAATTTTGTAAACATTGATATTTCAAGAATCGTTACACATGGAATCTCTTATAATTAGTATAAGAAGGCAGATTAACTTTTATGTTATTCTGTTTCTCTACAAAAAAAGTTTTATGGCTTTCTCAGTTTTCATTAGATAAATAACCTTGCAGTGCTTATTTTTCAGTTTACTGTACAGTATTTGTTGTACATTAATGTATACACATTATATTGAAATCCTGGTTTAATATATTCATTGCAATTTTGAGCCCTCATCATCTCATATCTAGAATTTGATCATAACTGTTTTATTCAGGTTGAAACTTTGTATCATCTTCATAAGAAGTCAAATATTACATAGATTTCTAGAGAAAAAGGGTAACTTAAAATGCCTTGTTTATCTAAAACTCCAACTTTCAAACACTACCAAATTATAATTATTCTTACTTTTATTATAATAATAGCTTAGCATTGATTATCACTATAAAGGTAGCTTAGTTAAGAATATACTGTACACCATCATCACCCTCCCCTAGAGTGTAAAGCATCTTGCTTTCATTTGTTAAACAGCACAATTAAAATTTTTATCAATATTTTGATTGTTAAAACGGATCCTCAGCATCCCCTTTTCTCACCAGATTATGACTTTAACTAATCCTGCAGAAAATTATATCATAATTTCATATTAAATAATCTTTTCAAAGTAACTGTTGATATGGTTGATTAATTATGTTATGCTTCTTAATCCAACATAAATATACATTACTTCAATTTTTTTATCACAAGCAGTATTTATAAGTATGCTGCCATTAATGAAAATTTTACCCTGATAATTTCACAGTGCTTTTGTTCTTAATGTACTATGTTGTGTACATTACAGATACAGTAAACATGTTTTCACTATGGAACTGCTAAGGTTTTTCTATTTCTTGATATAAAGTTCAGTACTAGAAAATGGATTCATAGACCCAATAATGATTTTGTAGCTTTGTAAGGTTTGTACAGAGTGGTTAGTAGTAGTAAATAACACTATCTGTTACAGTTAATTTGAGCACAAAGAAGATGCAGTTTTCTAAATAAACTGCAGCAGAGTTCTTTCCTTTTCCTTTTCTTATATTTTGATAAGTGATATGGCTAGTTGCTGTTTCTTTTTGCTATCTTGTTAGAGCTTATAATGGAATTATTGATTTATTGCTTAAATTCAGTAACTAACCTGTAGGATGACTATAGTCTTGTTTTTGTCTAGCTAATATAGTTTCCGTCATTTTATATAAGTGTAAATATATTGGTAGTCCAGAAAACATAAATATCTTGCACTTTTCAGACACACTTTTCAATGTTACCTTCCTGCAGGAGTCATGCTTGATGATACAGGTGCTGAAGTTCACGAGGCAATGGTTAGGACAAGTGTTTGCTGCAGCAGATAACAATAAGGCAAGAGGCTTGATAGTATTAGTAAAGCAACTGACTGCAATAAAGATGAACAGTTACCTTGTTAAGAAGAAGGATAATTTGCAAGGTATGCAAGCGTTGCTGCAGATTCTTAAGTATCCAATATACTGGGTGCTTTTCCCTTCAGGAAAATAATGTCATAATGGGACAAAATGAAGGGGAAATGTAGCACCATTTTGGCTCCTAGAGGAGAATTTTAGATCTGTACTTTATAGATCAATTTCCTATCAAACTACTCTAATTTATTATAAATACATATAAGAGCTGCTACATACTTTCTAATCCTGCTGGAAATGACCCTCCATCTAACAAGTTATTATCTAAGAATCTGGCTTCTTAGGAGAACAAGTTTAGAATTCTAGTTTAGCTAAACAAATATTGACTTGTTGAGTGTTCTGCTGGCAGCCCACTGGGAACAATAGGAAAATGTGCACCAGCATACTTGTCTGATTACTATATATCTACATTTTGAAGACTATTAGTTATCTGTGATATGTGAACCACAATGTGGAAGGAAATGAGGAGAGTTTTTTTTTTTAACATTGTTTTTAATTCAGAAGAAAGCAGTATTTTGCTTCAAGTTAAACTATAACCTAAAGGAGATTAGTATTTTCACTGTTAAAATTGTTTTCCACATTTACTACAATTAATGTGCTATTTATTAATGTGAAAAGAGGTGGCATCCTCTTGATTTTTCAACATTGCTATCTCAGTTTTTGAAGTTGCCTAGAAGGGAAATAGAAACCTGGTATTCTTCAGGTTCTTTGGACTACAGGTCCCCTAATTCTTTGAAACTGGCTATGTTGAAATCTTAAAACTTCTGGAGGTAGCAGGTTGATTACTTCTGAACTAAAAGGCCCTGATCACTGCTACTGCAGCTTAATCTAGCTATGCAGTTGTGAGATGGAATTATTCATTGACATGTATCATAGATATCCAACCAAAATACGAAGAAGCATCTTTAAGAAAATTATGACCCTGTGGAGAAATTATGTTTTGAGAAAAGGATATAGTTTCCTGATGTTTTCAGAAACATGCTTTATGCTCTGTCTTATTCAAAAGCACTGGTCTCAACTGATCATTCTTCAGTCAACTGAGTTCATATAGCTGCTATCTTAAAATTAGAAAGAATACTTGATACATTGTTTATTTTTCCTTCTGGAATATATTATAGAATAATTATTAAGAGTTTTGTGAGAATCTCTAGGAGGTTTAATTTTTTGCATCTACAGTAGCTGAAAATTCATGTTATATTATAAGATAAATTAATGCACATGTTGGTAAGGACAAAATTGAACAGAATTCTTAGATTATCTAAAATTTGTGCTTTGCCTTGGAACTGTGACACAAAGTACAGTTTGTAAGATATGGAAATCAAAGGAACTGTATTTAAATTATAAAAGTATACACTAGTGAGAATTTCATGGTAAACAATGATAATGTTAATTGAATCATTTTTCAGTACTTAAAAATGGTAGATAATTTAGTCTTTATCAGTGTTAATGTTAACTAAAGAAAATTTTGAATTTCTGTCTTATTCATTATTTAATTCCAGTGGAACCATAAAATATATATTCTAAGAATATGAATATATATATATACACACACACACACACACACATATACATACACACACATACGCTATAGCATAGTGAGAAAAACAACTTAAATATAAATACCATCTGTAAGTTAAATGCTGTTAATTAAAAAACAAGTAGGTAATAGTTTCCTCCTGCCATTTGGCACTCAAATATTTACTTTTTTATTTCTATGTGCAATCTCAACAATTTTGTAAACTATGGTTTATGCACAATGCCTGGATTTGTACATGTGTAGTATGCGACCTCACCATTGCCTCAAGGCAGTTTCCACTTTGTCTGGCGTAGTTCAGTCATAGAAGAAGAAAAACATCTTTCATAATGCTTCCCTTCCTGTCCATTTCATAATATTCTGCAGAAAAGGACACAACTGAGACCTTACAACAGAAAACCACAACCCCTAAGGGTTATGAGGTAGACTTCTGTTAAGAGATAAACCAACCTTCAACAGTGGATGGAGATTTCAGGGAGAAGAGAGGGCTTTAAAAGAAGGATAAATACACTTTATTTCGGGAGGATGAGAAAGATGCCCTTTTCATTTTCTTCCCTAAAACATCAGGCATTTTGCAGTGTGGGACATGTCCACCCTGATCCCAGTCCTGGATTAACCATTAAGCAAAATAAGCATGCACTTAGGGCACCAAGGGAAGGGGGGCACTACAGAGTTTTTTTCCTCTAGTTATCATGCCCTTAACTTTTTCACTGCCACACTTGACTTCAATTTTCAGCACTTACTGAGTCTTAATGTCTTGTCAGTTAAGCAGTGGAGGAGTCGAGAGGCACCTATTGCCTATTCTCAAAATTGAAAGGCAATCAGTAACCAAAATGGGATGTTTATGGATATACTGTATCTGTTCTTATTTAATCAATTAATTTCAGATTCTTAAAAATCTTCCTAAAATATTTTCTCCTTTTTTATTTGAATTCTGTAACTAATATGTTAAGTCATTATTTTTCCATTTGATAGTCAGCTTAATTTGTAAAAATGGTTATGATGACTCAATACTTTCCACTTCCCTTTTCCTTTTCCTTTAAAAAGTGCTTTTGACTGTGTTTATATAGTCTCTATGCATATTTTTAATTTGGCAGAACATTCCATTTTTTAAGAAGATTTATGTTCTTGCTACAATTTTCAGTTTGTTAGAGCCTGCTTTGTCCCAAACTTTAGCCTAACTCATTGCCCCATTTATTCTTTAGCTGGTTCAGCTAAATCATCGTATATACTCAACTGTCTTTTACACTCTTGGTTTGCTTTACTCTTTTTTCCTCTTGCCATGTCCTTCTATTGTATATAATGACTTAGAAATCAATAAATTAAAAGTAATTTTAAATGTTCATACCTTTACTAGGGATGCACATTGGATTTTGCACCTTCATAGAAAGAAAAAGAAGTGTTGTGATGCTTTGCACTATGAAGCAATATAGAAAGACGGTTTGCAAAAAAATAGATAGCCCTCTGCCTAGTACTTTTAATTTTTGTTTCACATAAAACCCTTGAGAGAGGAGAGACAGGAAGGAAAGAATAATAGAGATGTCTATGCTATAAAGAAATTTCTTCAGTGGCTCCTCAGTCACATTAGATGTTCCAGTTTTGTATGCCACCCAGAGTCCATTGGAGTTAGGGTTCTGCTTACAAACTTTTCGGATTACAACCAGCTCTGGCCGCAAAAATTTACCTTGGTTTGCGAACTCCACCTCGGGGTACGAACCAGATCCGTGGCCATTTTCCGCCCGTGCCACATGGTCCGCGGCCATTTTTCCGCCCGTGCCACGTGGTCCGCGGCCATTTTTCCGCCCGTGCCACGTGGTCCGCGGCCGTTTTTCCGCCCTGCCGCGCGGTCCGCGGCCGTTTTTCTGCCCTGCCGCGTGGTCCGCGGCCGGTTTTCCGCCCTTGACGCGTGGTCCGCGGACGCCGGAACGGATTAACGGTAATTACATTGAACCTAATGGGAAAATTTGCTTTGGGTTGCGAACAAATCGGGTTGCGGCCAGAGTCACGGAACAGATTAAATTCGTAACCCGAGGTACCACTGTACTTCTATTGCAGTACATTAAGTATACAACTCTGAGGTCATTGTAACTAGCCAAATGTGTGCTGAAAGTAGCAACCATCAAGCATTCCATAATGTGATATGTGAGATATAGATCATATGTGTAAAATGCACAATGCCTTCATGAATTAGGGCAATAATAATATCTATTTATTTCAAAAGAAGTGTTTCTTTTTCAATAGTATCTTCCTATAAATCAAACTCAAGAACTTAGAGATCCATAACAGAAAGGACTTGTAATATATATTTAAAAGATCTATTATTTACAATATTTTATACATTTTTATTGATGCTTATTGCTTGCATTGGAAATTGTGCTATCATTAGTTAAGCTACTGTGCAAGTTTTATAAGACAAGGGCAGGATATGACTGTTAGAAGTAACTTTCTAGAATTTATTGAACAAAAACAAAGTATTTTGGAAACTGTATTGATTTGATTAAAGCATTACTTTGTTTAATCTGCAATTTATTTGATAGTTGTATTTATTTCTGATTGTTTAATAGGAATAGAAAGCTATGGAGGTATGTGGTATAAAGTATGCAGCACTCACACATGGCCTGATCCCTAGTCTCAGTAAAGCCTTATTTGTCTTTCCTACTTCCCAGCATATATATGGGCAGTTCACCAAGAAAGTCTGGGAAATGGGAAAATTGACTGCACATTCTCATCTCTGTAGTTTGCTGCCACTGACAACAAGATAAATGATATGGACACTGGTCCCTGTGAGGAAGCACTGCATTCTATAGTAGAGCCTAGAGAGCAAGAAGGGGAGGTTTTACATCTGTTGGGATTCAGAGAGATAGAAATCCTTGAACTTTCAGAAAATTATTTTTCTTTTAAAATGTTTAGAATTTGAATCTGCATATTCTAGAAAATTGTCCTATTTTTATAGTGTAAAAATAGTTCAGAAGCAGTGTTGAACGTGACACAATTATTGGTTTGGTTCTGAGATATCAGTGTATATTTTACCAAGTAAAATATTTCTTATACTGATAGTGGATATATTTCAAAAGTAACTTTGGAATAAAAGTAAATTTATTTATATATTGAGCTACTTTAGTATGTAGCAGGTACTTTTTTTTTCAGTTGTGCTCAACTCTAAAGAGTTTCATTTTCTATTTTATTGTGATAGAGTATTTATTTATTATTTAATGCAACCTATGTGCCACTCCATTTTCAGAAAGACTGTATGGTTTATAGTATCTCTATACTTATCATAATATAAGAACTTCCTTTTTACTAATAACAACAGGCCAGGAAGTTAAACCTCTGACTTTGCAACCTTCAGACTATTAGTTTTTTGTCCGATTTGTGTCTTTTTGTTTGTCTCCATGGTTTTTGTTTCAGCCATCTTTTTTCTTTCTTTTTTGTCTTATCCATCTTTAATTCTAGAGCAACCAGATAATACTAATGACACTACTGAATCGGGCAACTTTGTTATACCCGAGATTAGTGTCACAAATGTGGCTGGAGAGAGAACCGGGAATGGGGAAAAAAACAGAATACCAGGAGAGAGTGATGGTCAACATATTCAGGGTGTGCAGGAAATTCCTACAGAGCCTAGAGTTGACAGCAAAAGCTTGCCAGAGATCAGGAGGCAAAAATCTGTAAGAAAAATTATGGAAGATGGAATAAGCTCACCTGGCAGAATGCAATTTTAGCAGAGCGCTTTGTAGCTACATTGAAAAGGTATCAGTTGAAAGGGTCACGGCTGCATGTTTTGAGGATTTTAGTATTCAACCACAGAAATTTGCATGTACTTTTAGTGAAACACAACTGCATGCTTTGCACATAGAGCTGATCTCTGTGCTCTACACATTGATAGCATGCTGAGAGCAAGTAGATTACCTTAGCTTGGGAAACCACACTGAGAGACTTCAAATTGCCATAATGCTTAACTTGGGCTTTTCAGTTCTGAATCATTCCAACATTTTTATTTTACACATTTGAAATAACCCTTTCTTCCAAGAGTACATAAATAATGTGAATTTATTTTAATGTTTTCCCATCTGTAATGTTATGAACTTATGCTCCAGTGTGTTAGGTTTCCAGACTCATCACCAAATGTAACTCTTTAGTGCAGAATGTGACCATTCAATCCTTAAAATAGGAAACACCACTGGATTTGCTAAAAATGTGACCACCTGCAGGTGATGCCCTATTGGCTATTCTGGTGAATATTAGAATTCTGGCTATTCTATTTCCATGATTATTTTGCTGTTCATAGTATATAGATACCTTTGCTCATATCTGGGTTTATTCCTCTTTCTAGCTATTATAGATCTAACCTCTTCTGAATCTTGCATGAATAACAGGCGCTTTTAAAAAATCACTACAAAATGAGATTGTAAGCATGCTTTTTGGTTTCATTGTATTTTATTGTTGTGATAAATTACATTGATTATAATAGATGATCTTCTTGCCTGCTCTTAAATATTTTGCTTTGTGCTTGAATAGAAAGATCTGTCAGGATCCAGTGAAATATATACAGCCTTCTTTCTCTATGCAGGTAACGAATTAGGAATTCCAGAAGAAGAATTAATAGAAGTATCTGAAGTTGATGAAGGTTTTTACTCTAGGGCTACTTCTACTACAAGTCATTCTACTTCATCAAAAAGTAGCAACAACACCAGTAATAAAACAATAATGGGCAAGAGTCAACGAAGGCCTGGAGGAAACAAAGTTGGAGGAAAAGAAAAAGAAATGACAGCTGAATTCTACAAAGAACATTTATCTCGCAAACAAAATCAAAGGGCAATGAGTGAAAATCTAGAGCTTCTCTCTTTAAAGAGGCTGACCCTAACTAGCAGCCAGTCCTTGCCGAAATCAGGAAGTCATAGCTTGGCTAGAACTAGCACCACACTTTTTAGTAAATCCTTTGAGCAGGTCAGTGGTGGTGTTATCCCAAGTAATCACAATGGCACAGAAACAAATAGGCTTTCAGTGTGTAGTTTGCAAGAAGGGAATTTGATATTTGAAACTGAAAGAATAGACCTTCCTGTTTCAAACAAACAGACTAATCAACAGCGGTTACCTACTATCAGCATTACTCTCTCAACAGATTAATAAACACCTAGCAAATGTTGCAGTGTAAAAGAGGGGCCATTCAATGATGGTACCACATGTTAGGATCCCTCAAGCTCTTTTTTTAATCAACTAAATTGTTTCAAAAGTTACTTTTATTTTAAAATAGTTGCCTAAATTGTTTGATGATTAAATATTAAAATGGAATAGCATGGATCATTCTGTAAATACTTTACAGTATTGATGTTTCAATATGTGGGACATTTTAGGAATTAATTTGCTCAGCAGATAAGTTGTACTGGAAAATGATTACATGATAGACCTCTATCCGATGAAATCTTTAATATTGTGCTATTTCTGGATTCTGAACTTTATTTCAAAAATAATTGGCTGGGGCCTAGAATTGGTTTGTCAGTTCCATAGTCACAGCAAGAACATTCTTTCTTTGGTCCCCTGAAAAGGGTTATTCTAAGTGGCAGCTAGTATCTGGAAAACAATATTCAGTTCTGTGCACATAATCTGTACCTAAATAAAACAATGTGCCACTATTGTGCCATTACTGAACAATGTTCAGACTACTATTTTCAAATTACAACTTAAATTACTGCTACAGTATTCAAGTGTACGTAAATTTTTTCTGCCCTGTGTAGTAACCGAGCAATGAATACTTTTTTAGTATATAGTGTGTACATATTATTATTTTCTAGAGAAGAGAATAATAATATTTTTTTATCTTTTCCACCATACCAGCCCTGGACTGCTAATACTTTGTGCTGGCCTATCTTGATATGATTGACTCAGCTGCCACCTGTATATTGGGTGTCACATTTATACCATGACTAAAATGGGTGTAATTCAGTGTTTGTATAGCTTTAAGTGTACAGCTTGTAGTGTTGTAAAATAGTACTTTGGGCTTAGGATATGGGTCTCTGTATAGGCCTAAAATCTAGTGCACAAAAGATGGAAGAGGAAAAAGTTACTAATTTCTCCTTTTCATCTGTAGAGGGCTACAGTTCTACTTTTATAGTGCCGGTAAGTTCAAAATGATTTGAGGGAAACTAATTTTTCGGCCCTGGAGTCTGTAAACCCAACCAAGAAACAATAGTGGCTTCTATTTTCTTCTGAAAATTGAATAGAGAGATTCATCTTAAATATTTTACTTTTTTTTAATTGAACAGTAGCATGGACTAGAAATATTTTTTATTTTACTCCTTTCATCAAACTAGTTTTAAAATTGCATCACATTTAAGTAGTAAACTTTACCACTATATGGGAAGTAGGTTATGGCTGTGGCAAACGTTAAATACTTTGGAAGGGCAAGATTTAGTTTTGTCTTCTAAAAATACAGTGTGGCATTTCTTTTGCATAGCCATGTTAACAATTCTCCCAAATTTGTGACCTCTTCCTCCCCTAGTTTCAGCAATTAGATACTCTAGAACAACTTCTAGGGGATTACTGGATGCATAAGAACAGGGGAGAAATTAGCATCACACTCTAGTGTGAACAGAAGTGCTTCCTGCTTGTTCATGAATCGTTGGATCCGTAGCATAGCTGCCAAGTGCAACAGTAGCACTGCTTATTTTTACTCCTCCCACCTGCTGCATTTTGCAGTGTTGCTTTTCAATCAAAATACTTTCTAACAAAGGTTTTATGCTTCTCTGGCTTTAAGCAAGAAGCAGCTTGATACACTGCTTTTATATTAACTATACCATGTAGTTAGAAATTCTATTTGTATTCAAAGAGACACTTTTCAAATTTCCAGAGATCCAATTTTTTAATAAAAAGTAGCTTTTTTGGTAATTGTTTGTACTGTATTAGACATTTTTGGAAACACTTTTCCATTTTCTGGAATATCTGAAATTTAAAATGGACAGAACCTAACTGTAACCTTAATTTAATTTTATGAAATCTCGGGGATACCTATTTCAACAGTATTAATATGCTTTATCCTTAGTAATTTACACAATTTTCTATACATTTTATGGTATTCTAGCATTGTATTAAAAATTTATTTGATATAAGTAGAAGAAATTAGCTTTTGTACAGGAATATACAGCCATTGTAGATGAAAGCTATTTAATTTTTTCTTACAGTTCATTATTTACAATTCCACATGATGGTTCTTTAAATGTTTACAGTACTAAAGTTTTAGGACTATAGAAAGCATTTTTGTTTTAATAAAAACAGCTTGTTCTTTTTGTACATTCAGATAATTTAGACTTTCCCCAAATGCTGCAACAGATAATGGAATAACAGATCTATAAAGTTAAGTTGCTTGAGTGTCTTTGAATAAGGATATATGACAGTTGTCTATTCTACATGCTGATATACATAAATGTATTGTGCATATGCACAGTTAATTATTTTTATGCATAATCAAAATATGAAGCTAGAGTGAAAACCCAGAAAATATGCAATAGTCTTAACATATACAAAATGAAGAGTAGATTTTCCCAGTGCATTATTCATAAATATTGATAATTTCTTCAAACGTTAGCTACACTTGCTAAACCATGAGTCCTTTATACAATCCTATCACTGAACAGGAAACCAGTTTGACATACATTGTACAATTCTTATAAATATAATTGTTACCATTTTAAGAATATGAAAATTGTGCAAATTTCACACTATAAACTAAGATGAGGAATACTGTCTTGAGCTTTAACTTTCTATGCTCAAAATGCCTGTGATAGGCCTAAATCTGGAAAAACTGTCTGGTGTTAAATTTCAGGAACAGAAGACTCCAGTAACGGCAGCTTCTGTTCTGGAAAAGGATTGTATTATTCATACATTATTATATTTTAAACCTACACAGACTTCAGTGTTTGAAGTCTAGTTGTATCACATCAGCCATGGAATAGAATATCATTTTGACTTTGATAGCTAATTGTGTTTGACTAATAATTATTTATAAATATAAAAATCTGGATGCTTGGGTAATTGGAAACCTGGCTTCAAAAAGCTTTGAAAATTGCCAGAGGCCATAATTGGTGAACATTTCAAATTGTCTTAAAAGTTGTTTCATTTTGAGTATTTTCTATAACTTAAGAGCAATGTTTTATTTATTATTTACAAAAATAGTTGTAAACTCAGTAATCTATTATTGAGTTGTGAAATCTGGTGAACTTTTTGTCCAAATAGTTTGTTTTATTATGGACTAAAATAAGCTATCAACAAAGGAAAAACATAGAATGCATTCAGTGATCAACACAAACTCAGAATAGATGCATATAGGAATTTTGAAAAAAGGAAATTATGTAACAAACATAACCCCAAAGTTGTTGATGTATTGCTTGAAAATCTTTTTCCTTAGGTTTTAAAAAAAATGTTGATAAACAATACATATCAACAATCCATTACTGGCAATCAATTGTTGATTTCTCTTTCCAATGTAGTATAATAACTTTTAGCCAACCTCCAAAAAAATGTATAATTTCTTATATTTTGATAGATTTGAAATTCATGGGGATATACAGTGGGGCAAAAAAGTATTTAGTCAGCCACCAATTGTGCAAGTTCTCCCACTTAAAAAGATGAGAGAGGCCTGTAATTTTCATCATAGGTAATTCTTTAAAAATCAGACAATGTGATTTTCTGGATTTTTTTTCTCATTTTGTCTCTCATAGTTGAGGTATACCTATGATGATTCTTTAAAAATCAGACAATGTGATTTTCTGGATTTTTTTTCTCATTTTGTCTCTCATAGTTGAGGTATACCTATGATGATTCTTTAAAAATCAGACAATGTGATTTTCTGGATTTTTTTTCTCATTTTGTCTCTCATAGTTGAGGTATACCTATGATGATTCTTTAAAAATCAGACAATGTGATTTTCTGGATTTTTTTTCTCATTTTGTCTCTCATAGTTGAGGTATACCTATGATGATTCTTTAAAAATCAGACAATGTGATTTTCTGGATTTTTTTTCTCATTTTGTCTCTCATAGTTGAGGTATACCTATGATGATTCTTTAAAAATCAGACAATGTGATTTTCTGGATTTTTTTTCTCATTTTGTCTCTCATAGTTGAGGTATACCTATGATGATTCTTTAAAAATCAGACAATGTGATTTTCTGGATTTTTTTTCTCATTTTGTCTCTCATAGTTGAGGTATACCTATGATGATTCTTTAAAAATCAGACAATGTGATTTTCTGGATTTTTTTTCTCATTTTGTCTCTCATAGTTGAGGTATACCTATGATGATTCTTTAAAAATCAGACAATGTGATTTTCTGGATTTTTTTTCTCATTTTGTCTCTCATAGTTGAGGTATACCTATGATGAAAATTACAGGCCTCTCTCATCTTTTTAAGTGGGAGAACTTGCACAATTGGTGGCTGACTAAATACTTTTTTGCCCCACTGTAGCCTAGAAGACCATAACCATCTTTAACATGATCATTTGATCCAGAGTTAACTATCTTGTTAATGTCTGCCCAAAACAAACATTAATAAGACCATATAGGGTAATATTCCAACTCCTGAGTTACATTTCCAGTAGCAAAGTGACTGTATCCAATACTGAACATTCTCTGGGGCATTCAGTAGAAATGAACCAATTTCTTATAGTATTAATGGCGTAGTATCATTTAAGATAATATGAAATTAATTTCACACTATTTAATGCAAGTCTGCATTGGTTTACTAGGCAGGACATTCCAACACATTATTCCAGAGTCACATGAATAGTATCAATTTCATCTGCTTCCGTTAAAGAAGTGTCAGAGTTAATGGAACTCAACAGTGTAGGGAGTAAGTTAATCTACAGTAGGGGGAAAAAGGCTTGGATATTTTTGTTAGCTTGTTTTGTTTCCTTGTGATTAACTTTTAACAGTAAAATTAGTATTAATGAAACATTTCCCATAACTTTGGAAGAGCACAATGTATTGAAATATTTTAGCAGACTATTACTAAGGTATGCATATTTTGATTTAGTGCAAAGAATATATGAATAGATCTTTTTGTGACTGACATTCTTAGTTTTCATATTTTAAACTTAAAATGAACTAGACTTTTCTGTGGTTCAGTAACTGTAGCCTTTTGTAAAGCTCCATTTTTATTTATTGAATATATGTATCAATTGGCTGTGTGAATTTTTAAATAATTTGCCCTTTATAAGGATGGATGAATGCCAATTAATAAACTCTATTAACAGTATGAAAGAATAAAATGTGTTACTCACTTTTATAGTGTACATTTGTGAATATATCCTGTTTTATTAACAAGCTGTTTGTTTTCTGTATTTTAATAAATGAACTGTTTACTTTGAGTTTGTATTTCTAAGATAAAGCTATCATGTGAGAGGGCAACATTGATTTACTTGGTTTGAAATACTATTTCTAGCTGCTGAAATGGTTTACATTTACGATGATGATGATGATGATGATGATGACGATGATGATGTAAGTAGCTGTCATGTTGGATTATGAGCAGCATTGGAACTGCAAGAGGTGGTAGACTAACCCAGCCAGTCATGGTCTCAATAAAAACCAGACCTCTGTTTTTGTTTGCTTTTTGTTTCATCCATAGCTTACTGCTTATTTATTTCTATCCCTCCTAAGGTGCCAGAGCAAGGTAATAACCACAAAGCAAAAATTAAACTAAAACCAACAATAAACCAATCATATTTTAAAACATGAGGTACAAAAATCAAAAGAAAAGCTCATTAAAGACACTGAAAAAAAGAAATAGGGAAATTGAAATAGTTACTCCATAAATTCCTGATTAAGCAGGCATGTCATCAGCTACTTTCTGAAAGTAAATTGCATGAGGCAGTTGAACCTCTCTCAGAAAATAAGTTTCGTAACTGGGACTTTCACTGAGAAGGTCCTATTCTTGGTTGTCACACTGAGCCAACTAACTACCAGTGGGACATAGATAGGGCCTCTGGCTTAGCTTAATGCACATGGTATTGGGGGAGATGATCTTTTCAATAGCTGGGCTTTAAGCTATTCAATATAAATTAAATAAAATGGTACTGACAGCTCATAGGACACCAGTGCAGCACTTTCAGTAGTGGTATATGACCCCCATTTAGTCACCCAACTTAACTGGGCAGCTGCATTGTCCACCAGTTGCAGCTTTGAACTATCTTCAAGAGCAGTTTCATGAGAACTGCAGTGTGCTATATTAACACG